CCTGGGGGTTTTTAAGAGGAGGTTAGATGAACACCTTGCTGGGGTTGTTTGACCCCAGTACTCTTTCCTGCCATGGCAGGGGGTGGGGCTAGATGATCTGCTCAGGTCCCTTCCAACACTAGAAACTATGAAACTATAAAAGATACCACTCAAAAAAATCCTTGCCTCCTACATAAATTAAAATGTTCACCAGACCTCAGGCTGCCCAAAGTGCTTGGAGTTTCATGTTCTCATTTATGTACAATGAAGTAACTTTAGTGCTGGCAAAAGGTGCTAATCTTTTTTAGACTCAAGGTACCCCTTGAAAAATACCAGCCCTTAGTTTTTTGTAGTCAAGAAACAAGTAAAAGCTAACAGAGCAATTCCTTTGTTGCAAATAAATCAAAAAGCCTGCAAGTAGTCAGAAATGATTTTGACACTATGGATTCCTATTTGAAATCTCTGGGTTTAATTTTGTGAATCGTATGTAGGTGTCTGCACACCTCACAGTATTAATATTGCACCCCCATGGCAGCATAAAAAAGATCTCATGATGCCCTGATTGAGAATCACTGTGCTAGAGGAAGAGCCTGGGACAGTAAAGTCCTCTTTTTATTCCTTCAATAGGTGTAGATGAGACAGAAATAGTACTGCTTGCCTCAGTGGTGAATTGCAGACATCCCCACATAGACGAGAAGCTAACTCAGTTTCCTGACTTTTCAGAGCTTGAGCTACCAATAAGGATGGTAGATAGTGCTGTTCTTGTGATGTAGACATGTCTTGCAGGAACTGGACTTGAGACAACCAAATGCGTTTCAAAGGCTGACACACACCATGCAGAGGACTAGTACTTTAAGACAGCTAGCTAAAGAGAATTGTACTTTTAAAGTTAAGTTTCTGAAATCCTGTGTGCAGGGTTGTATGAGTTCACACCTCTTGCTTATCTGAGCTAAAAATGACACGTACAGAACCTGATCTTCAAAATATCAAAAATCCAGTGCTGCAAGCATTATTTTGTTCTATAGAGCAACTGTACATTTAATATTTATAGCCCTTACCTGTGTGATTTGATTCCCAAATATGAGTGCTGGTGTAGATAATGGGCAGACAAGGTTCTTCGGGTGAATCTGACATCTTTTATTACACCAACTTAAATGGCAGATAATATACATAAGAACACTTCCCTTTCAGTGCCAAAATATACCTCTGATATAAAACCCAAGCACCTGCCAATTATGTTTAAAATAAATTATGCTACAGAACAAGGTAAACAAGCACTTATGAAATACCTAAAACAGATATTAGGTACCATATTGTGCATCTTTTCCTTTAGTAATTCCAAAGTGTAAAGAATTTCAAAGGAAATTCTTTCTTGTACTTTGCTTTAAGTAGAGAAAAAAATAAAACTACATTTTCCTTTAATGTGAACAAAGAAAGTTTTTCACTAGATATAAAAATCTAACTGTGGGCAAAGTCTTCTTAAGCTAAAATTGCCATCTGAGTAGCTCATTTCTGCTTGAGAATATCCATATTTTTTCAAGAGAGGAGGGCAGGAGCGTGGAGAAGTCATTCAAGGACATTATACTAGTTCAGTTGTAAAGATGGATAACAGAAACGTTATACAGTTTGAGAGTTAAAACACCTACATTTCAGAGAGGTTGGTAAAGCAAAACCAGAACAATTCTTACAAAACTGACACCTGAGGAGAAAGGGAATTTTGTCCTGTTAGGGACAGGAAGGGAATGTATCCTGTTTATCTTGCTATATGCAAACGATACATCTTATACACAAACCACAGACTACATATAATAATAAAATACTTCTTGGAAACCTGCAATGTAAGGTCATCCTGGGTATAAATCTGCTAAATATTAACTTCCAGCTAGCAATTTCTGTCCTGTACTTTGAAGAATGGTTTCCTTGTAACAGACATCATAAAATATTCTGTTATACTAGAGACAATGTATTTAAAAAAGAAAAGGAAATGAAACAGCAGGAGTTTAAGCATTTCAGATCCTTGTGTTCTGGAATACTGCCCCCAGCATATGGCAGTTTCAGAAATGCCTCTTCACTCCCCATTTGTGGCTGGGGAGTTCCTGTGGACAGTGTAGTTGCAAGACAGCAGGGAGATTTTTGAAAGGGATTAATGGTCCAGGATCCTCAGCCAGTGTAAAAAATTAAAGTTTACACCACCTGTGGGTCTGGCCCTCTATTCCCAAATTTTGGGCATGTTCCCATGCCATAAATCTAGCTTGGGTACCAGAAGCCAATAGCCATTGTTGTATGGACATCACTCTTCTGCTTCCATTACCTATGTAGCGCTAGCTCAGGTTTCTCTCCTTGCCAGTGTGCTTCCATCATTCACTACCTATATGGAAGCTTTCCATGAATTGTAACCATATTTCCTTTTTTATTTAACCACAGCCAGGGTACCTCTACCAAGAGAAGGGCACCTCTTCCATACAGCGCTGTGTCATCCTGGCTTCCCTCATTCTGGCGGCAAAGCAAGCATGGTTTGAGCCTTCATTAACTTCACCAGCCCCTCCTTCGAAGCTTTGCTGCTCCCTTGCCTGTAGTGGGTATTTTGAAGACAGCAGACAGTGCACTGCTATGGCAGTCTTGCCAGTTGTCAGAGGAAGTGACAAGGAAACGGGCTGTGGTGAGGCCCATGGGTTTTGATGCAGCTTATTTTACACAGCTCTCATCTACTCCCAGGGCAATATGGTGAAAAATATGCACATGGAGTCTGGCTTGTGAGTCCTTTGGGATATTTTCCTGGATCTTTTTAACTTCTCTGAAAGTCACACACCTCTGGGCCTCAGTTTCCCCAAATGCACACTGGGTATAAGTGATCACCAATCCAATGCCCTAGTGATGCACACAAGTAACTGGTAAGGCAGACCAAGAGCCTTAAATGAAAGCCTTAAAATGTCAAGTTGATATAAAACACGAAGTTAACAAAGGATGGACTTAGCATTATTTCCTATAACAAACCATACTTTAGTAAACTATTTCCAGGTACTTTCTGTCTTATCCTTTTTGTCATGGATAGAGTTCATTAACTGTGCTAATAAGTATTTTATAGCACTTGTCACACTGTATGCAATTACAATTTGATACCACATAGCCAGGTCTATTAACTACCTCGACCTAAGTTACTTCCATAAGAAAACAGCATCGCATTTTATCTGTAACATCTATAATGCAGCACTGCTAACTTTAGTAGTTCTATAGTGTACTGGCAGCCATGAGCCACATCAGACAAACTAAAATCTAAAGGACACATCTGATATGAACTATATTCATCCTCAACAATTTACTCATATAAATCCAATAACATTTTAAATTCATTTAGTTAAAGCTGACTCCTCACGGCATCAATTGTTCATCCAATTAGAGATCATGTTTTGCAAAATCATGCAGTAAGAGTATTCAGCAGGATGCAGGTATGAAATACTACCCTTAAGGTATTTAGCCCAAATGATTCTCAAGTCATATGAAAGTGATTCAGATGTGAACACTGCACAAAGAACTATAAAGTTAAAATAGAAGTTGGTCATTAGCATAAAATTTTAATCCCAGGCAATGCATTCACCTGAAGTTACCTAGATGGTTATCCCTAGGAAGCACACACAATAGCAGTTCAAGAGCACTGAGACCTTCTCCACACCATTTTCTCCAGAACCCACAACAGCCACCAGAGGGCACACGAATGTTGTTAATTATGAATGAGTTTGCTCAGGATTAAGTTGCTAAGGTGCATCAGCAATAGACAATTACTGTTAAATGCCCCCTCTTTACATTCCCCAGAGAACTATGAATACAGTTTAGCTTTCAATCTTATCAGATCACTCCCTAGTCTCCTTTTTATGTTCTTTTAGTGTTCTTCCCTAGGCATACATCAAGAAAAGCAGAGCTGCTGGCACTGGAATCTGGTAGGCTGGCACTTCATTTTAATAATATGAAAAGAATTTCAGGCATTTATTGCAACACAGAAAAATCTTAGCCCCCTCAAAAATGACAGTGAGATCTTTAATGACACCCCAGGGAAGATTTTGAAAGCTGGTATTCAGATGCCTGGCTTAGGTTTTATGTTTGTAGGAGTGGATGTAAGTTCTTCATCAACAGTCATCCTGCAGCTCAGTGCAACGTAAACCTTTCAAAATCGAATCGTGTAAAATTACTCCTTTTCTGCACAAGACACTCCTTCTGACTTCCAAGTAGAAACCTCTTTTTGAAGAGCTATGCCCTTTGGAAAGCTATCCTCACTCAATTACTCATCCTATTCTTGCCCCTACTATGACACCACTGGAAGACTAAAAAAACAAAATTTTTAGATCCTCTTAATGGGAGAAAATGATACTTGTATAGCAGCTAGAGCCCACTAGGCTTGGTGCTATAGGGGTGCTACAAACATAACAAGATGGCAGTTTCTGCCCAACTAGTATAAGACAAAAATAGATGAATGCAGGTGGTCAGAGGAGTACAAGAAGCCAATGAGACAACATAGGCCAGCATAATAGCCGGTGGTCTCATCATACCAGCAGCTTTACCTTTGAAAGGAACTGGGAAAAATAAGGTTTTTTTGAAGCAAGCTGATAAACTGCATGGGTGCTTATGGAGAGTTCCTCCAGAGATGAGAAGTGACAATTTAAAAAGCATGGAAGTGCTTGTTTGAAAATGTAACAATTAGAGGCAAAGTTCACATCTCGGTAGTTAATGAAATGTTATGGATAGAACATGCCACAAAGGGCCTTAGAAGGGAAGACAAGTAGTTTATGTTTGATGTGACAGATGAGGTGGCCAGTGGGGGGAAGTATACAGAGGGCTGATAAGGTCAAAGAGACAGGCTAGGAATAGCATGCAGGCTGGACAAGAGCAGGGCAAGATGGCATTCTTCAAGGCCAGAGATATGGACATTGAAGTAACGAAGATATGGGAGCCTGAATGAAAGATTTAGCTGTCTGCATAGGTAGGAAGGCCACACCTTTGAGATAACATACAAAAAAGACTGCAGATTTAGACACGGCTTAGAGTGGGATGAGGAAGACCCTCCAGAGCAGGATCTTTTGGCCATGCAGGCCTAGTGAGTGGTGCAGGGCTAGTGCACAAGCCATATTAGGCCCCATGCTGCCTCTGCCTAGCTCCACGCATCTAGATTGGTCCCTGTGTGGCCTCAGTTGGCCACTCTATATCCAGATTGGGCCTGTCCTGTGCCATGGCCACCAAGTCCCATGTGCTGAGCCCTGGCACCTTGCACTGTCCCCCTCCCCGCCCTCCGCTGCCCCACACATTGGAATTAAGCCTTGCACTGCCCCCTGCCAGGCCCCAACACCCCATACCACCTCCACCCACCCTTGTGCACCAGTATTAGGCCCTGCACACTGGGATCAAGCCCTGGCACCTTGCACCAGCCCCGCATGCCAGGATCAGGTCTTGTGCCACCCTGTGCACCTGATCTAGTGTGTAGGGCTTCCTACTGGTCTGGAAATTTCGCAGCAGGGGAGCACCCCACCACTCCCTTGCTGCCAAATTGTCAGACCTGTGGGGAGCTCCTGCAGGCAGGATGACACAGCTTTGGGAGCAGGCTGTGATCCATGGGCTGGGGGTTAAGTACCCCTGTTCCAGAGAACAGGTTAGAAAGATTAGAGAGATAGTAAAAGAACCACAAGAGGCAGAGTGATGGAAGCTAGATATCAAGGATGCCCGTTTCATCCAACTCTATAAATCATAGGAGACAGAAGTGACTGTAATAACCACAGTGGTACATCTCTTCTCAACGTTGCGGGAAAAATCTTAAGCTATATTCTTTTACCTATATTTCAAACATTAACTGAGAGAATCTATCCTGAGAGCCAGTGTGGCTTCTGCTTGGAAAGGTCCACCATATGGTCTTCTCTGTAAGACAGCAGCAGGGAAAGTGCAGAGAACTGTATACCACTGTACATGGCTTTTATAGATTTAACAAAAGCCTTTGACACAGTCAGTCAGGGCTTTGCACAGTTCTGAAGAAGCTTAGTTGCCCACCTACACTGCTAAACCTTGTGAAATCCTTACATGATAGCATGAAGGCAACTGTAAAGTATGAAAACTGAGTCTGACTTGTTCATCATCAACAATAGAGTGAAGCAGGGTTGCGTACTGGCTCCCACATTGTTTAACATTTACCTCTCATTCCTACTTCAGTGCGTGTTCCATGATGTTTAAGATGGTGTTTATCTCAGCACTAAATGTGATGGAGGACAGTTTAACATTGTAAAGTTCAGAGCTAAGACGAAGGTGAAGGACATCATCATAAGAGATCTGTTTATAGATGATACAACCCTTGTGGTTTATAATGTTGATGCCCTGCATCTCATTACCAAGTTCTCTGACTCATGCAAAATCTTTGGGCTAGCAATAAGCTTGAAGAAGACTGTTATCATGCATCAAGGCTCTTCAGAACCAGTTCCAGATATCACCCTAGATGGTACTCGTCTGGATGTTGTTGACCAATTTTTCTACCTTGGCTTTACTGTTACCAGCAATATAAATCTTGATGCTGAGCTCACTAATAGAACTGGCAAAGCAGCCAGTCTTTTGCAAGACAGAGCCTGGAACAATAACAAACTGTCAACTAAATAAAAATCTGTATTTATGAGACATATGTTTTATCCACTGTTCTATATGGCTCAGAAATGTGGATGACCTACGCCAAACATATCAAAAGACTAAACAGCTTTCATATCAGATGCCTGCATTAAATTCTTTGAATAAGATGGCAAGACAGGGTAACAAATGTGGAAGTGTTAAATCATACTTTTTGTCATTCATGGGAACAGTGATTAGTAAGAAAAGACTCATGTAGTTTGGTCATGTCAAGCGAATGCCTGATCATAGGATCCTGAAGAATGTGCTATACTTGCAAAGGGTCTAGAGAGAGAGGTAGGCCACTGGGCAGATATCACAATGATTGGAAAGATGATTTAGCATCCTTTGAAATCTCCCTGGATGACTGGGAAAGGAATGCAGAATGCCACTATGGTTGGTGAAGTCTGCCTGCAGATGGAGCGAGGAACTGCAAGGCGGACTGGATCAAGTCTTGTGATGACTGGCATCAGAGAAGGAAAAAATCCAGTGTTTGGATTCAGAGCACTGCTCGTACATGGGTGTGCCCTACCTGTGGGCAGGACTGTCACTCGCACATCAGACTCTGCCATCAAATAACTCACCGGTGCATACGCCATGCTCTATAAAGAACAACAGCACCAACTGCGAAGAACCACCAGAGGCAGAGTGATGGAAGCTAAGAGAAGGCAAGATATCGAGAGCATGATGGACAAGCCCAGGTCTAGAAGTATGAAGGTTGTGGGCTAGTCCTGAGGTTTGGAAATGGTGCCTTAGAAATTCTGGCAAGAGCCGTTCCAGTTGAGCTTTGATGTAAAGATTGGACTGGAGAGTGCATACAGTGGAAGTGGAAGAAAAGAACTGCAGACAGGGGCTGTAAACAGTGCACTCAATGAGTTTAGCAATGAAAGGGAAAGAGGGCAGGTGGAAAGGCAAAATGGCAAGAAGGGGGAAGGGGTTTTTTTTAGTACAGGGGGCTAGCCTTTTTGTTGCCTTGGACAAATAAATGTTGCCACCCCCCCCACATCTGCAAAGCTAACCATGCTGATCACTCAAAAACCAGTGTTAGAAATGCTACATCTCCAGTTTTGCTGTTATGAACACATCCACTTTGCCCATAGGATGCGCTGGCCTTGTTAAGATGGGAAAGACTGAAGTCATGTTTGTGAAAGACAAAACATGTTTGCACTCCGAGGCAAAGGAACCAGAAG